ATACAGGGGATAAATTTGCTCAACGGAGTTTGAAGTGCGTTTTTTTGGGGTATCCTTATTCCCAAAAGGGTTGGAAGTTGTATGATCTTGAAACTCAACGTTTTTTTGTTTCAAGAGATGTACGTTTATTGAGCACAAATTTCCCTTTGAGGATTCAATTGTGGAACCTGGATTTAGCAATGACACGACCAGATTATTAACACCACCTACGGATTCTCTTGTTGGAGTTGACCATAATGGCATGCATACGAGTGGGTATGATGGTTATGGCGGCATACATGGAGATACGGCAGACACTCATGATGGCATGCATGAACACCACGATGATGGAGGAACTGACACGGCTGAAGCTACATCCATGTCACATACTCAGGAGACTGCGAGCAGTGGGATTTTAATACAACCGTCCGAAGAATCAGTACGCCGGGGCACACGACAACGGAGACAGCCGGTATGGCCACTACTAGAAAAAAGGTTATTTGTTGCGGTTATTTTGAGTTATTTGCTGCGGTTCTGAACCACAGCAATTGGAGGAGCAGCAAAATCTGAATTTAGTTATTTGCTGCGGTCAACAACCGCAGCAAATATGCATGTCTATTTTTTGGCAATTACTTTTAGCGGCGGTTCATAGGCAACCGCAGCAAATAGCCTCATAAATTTTACTAGTTTATTGCAACGGTCTGTGCCCAACCGCAGCTAAATCTATATATATCGGATGCTGGATTTTTTTATATATCCGAATGGAGCATTTAATATATATTTCAAAACTCAAAAGCCTAGACTTTCAAGTTAAAGCACTTTCATTAATCCACAATACATTCAAAAAGAATACGAACTACCAGTGTTCTAGAAATTAATCCACAATACATTAAAAAAGAATACGAAATACCAATATTCTACAAATTAAATTATATCGAGAGACTAAACAAACAAGTAGAAAGAACATATTGAGCTAGCTGATCATAAACCTAACTTAACTAGAAATGAACATAAGAACCTCTGGTGCTTGCATTTAGGAGGAAGACCATTTGTGAACTTCTGTTGCACCCATTGGAGCTTGTTTATGCTCTTGGCATCAAGATCTTGACTCTACAAATCCTGGACGCCATTGATTGACTGTGTCAAACTGCAACTCGATGACTGACAATATCAGAAACAAGCATTGGCGTTGAAGTCCATGTATGACGCCGAAAATAGAGCCTTTAAACAGTCTGTTTTGTCCAGCCCACCCTGCGTTGCTCGATCATCTGCATTCATCGGGCTAGCGTAAACCTTCATCAACTGATTATTTAGGAACGGCACACCCATCGCTTTGTTGTTGGTGAACACTCTTATCGGAATGTTATCCATAGAGAATCTGCAAGAATCTCTCAAGAACTTGAAATCAATCTCATCATGCATGTTTCCAAGAGACGGTAACTGCATGTTTCATCAAGATTTCCATTCATAAAAAATCCAAATAAACTAAAGTTAATTAAATGAAATTAATAATCAGCAAGAAAAAGAAATGCAAGTAGGATAGGATCAAAGAGTGTGCATAAAAGGCGGTGACGGTTCTGGCAATTAAATTAAAGAATCAAATCCAAAGTCCTGTGAAGCAACTACCGACGAATACACATCAATAAAAAAAACTAAAATAAGTAAAAATCAAATTTACGTAAAAGATATACTCAAATACTTACCCCAAAATGCTGCAATTGTACTATTGAAGAAACACATACGTATAAGGTTCATCTCTTCTGGTGCTCTAATAAACCTAAAATACTAAAAAGCACATAACTAGAGAAATACATATGCATAATAAAAAATTATACAATGGTTACACATGCACACACATTTAAAACTTATGAAATCAATAAGTCAACTTACTATTCTAAATTACAAAGTTGTACTTAAATTAATACATAATTAACACACAGAGTATATACTATACAATATCGTCTAATTTTGACTTAACCAGCTTCTTTACTTGTATAGGAGTGTTTCCATAAGCACTTGTTTAAGTTTTTGAGTACTTAATACTCTGTCGTAACATGTTTTTGTCTTTCTTATATGTCCCAAAATTTAATCTACTGTCTACAAATAAATATCAATTGCTTTTTTAGTTTTCCCACTTAGACTATGTACTTTTTACCTTGGCATATGGAGGGCACATGTAAAATTAAAACTATATATGTATTACAACAACACTTGTCAAGCTGTCGAAAACAAGCTCCCATATGCAGAAGAAATTCCAGCAACGAAATAATCAATAAAAAATAAGAATAAGAGAGTTCAATGCATTTTCTAAAAAGATATAGTGATACATACCTTTAAAAACATTAATACGGAGTACTTCATATAGAAAATTATGAAAATTGGGAATCGAACATTTTTATCAATATGATTAAAGTCAATAATACATTAATATAACCTGAAACAGGGAATCAACTAAGTTCATTTCTGGGTATTTCCACTTCAAGAGACCCTCATGTGTTCGTGGAACATACGAATCATCCCAACCCTGGCACAGAGATAAGTGTCTCATTACAACAAGACAATGAAAGAGTAAAACAAAAGGAAGCAAGAATTGAAGGATGGTGTCTCATGAAAGTTACTAAATTAGTCATATCTAAAAGTAGCAAGAGCCCATATGGGATGCCTTATATGAGTTTTTACTAAAATATTACAGAATACTTAAATACTACCTTAAAGTATGGAGTATAAAAATATAACCTTCTCCATAAACATAAAAGTATGTCTATATTTATTAGTTCAACTTACACACAATGATTTGAAAAAACAAAACATACTCATCAATTTCATCCAAACATAAGTATCAATACTAATCAATCTCTCCAAAAAAAATACAAATCCAATGAATTCATACAAATACTAATCTCCAACAAATTTGATAAAATTCAATAAATTAAAAAAAGATGTAAAAATATTAGGTTGGAAACTAAACCTCTATTGAGCCAATATGAGCCGGCAAAGGACTTTACTAGGAGGGGGGCGTTCGACGTCTACATCTGGGATGGGCGGCGTTCAGAGGATGCGGTTGGGAGGGGCAGCATTCGGCGGATGCGGCTTGGAGGGGTGACGTGCGGAGGCAGCGGCGGGAGTGGCGTCGTGCGGAGGCAGCGGCTGGAGGGGCGGCGTGCAGAGGTAGTGGCTGGAGTGGCGTCGTGCGGAGGTAGCGGCTGGAGGGGCTAACGATCGACGGGAGCAGGCGCTGCTGCGAACTGGAACCTTACGAGCGGATCTGGAGGTTGTGAACGCATCTAGGGTGAGCAAACAAAGTTATCTGATTTTGTAGGACTTGTGCTGCGGTAGTTGTACACCAGCATCTAAAAGTAATTAAATTTAAATATTAAATGCTAATTGATGCGGCTCCATTGAGACCGCAGCAAATAATCTACAAAATTTCGAAGTAAATGTTGCGGTTCGTCTTCAACCGCCGCAAAAAGTCTTAATTACTAACAATTTGCTGCGGATATGTCTACGACCGCAGCAAAAGGGCAGCAGCAAATGAAAAAAATTCTAGTAGTGGGCATAAAGATTACACGGTACAAATTAATAGTATGAAATTAGATACTCCTCCCGTTGCTCTCCCGTCTCCATCGGTTGAATCAGGTAATCCGTATCCCTTATCTCGTTATGTAAATTATAATTGTTTTTCGGTGCAGCATCGTGCTTTTATTGCAACAATTTCAGCCACCCGAGAGCCCAACACTTTTCGTGAGGCAGTTGGTGATCCCAATTGGCGTGCCGCTATGCAACGTGAAATTGTTGCGTTGGAACGCACTGGTACGTTGCAAACACAAGACCTTCCCCCTGGCAAGAAACCCATTTATTGTAAATGGGTTTATAAAATTAAATACAAGAGTGATGGGAGTATCGATCGCTACAAGGCGCGACTCGTAGTTTGTGGTAACCGCCAGGTACAGGGGATTGACTATGACGAGACTTTTGCCCCTGTGGCCAAAATGGTCACAGTGCGTACTATTTTAGCCATCGCAGCCTCGCGTGGATGGGAAACACACCAGATGGACGTAGACAATGCTTTCTTGCATGGTGACCTCCAGGAGGAGGTATATATGCATTTACCACCCGGTTATTCCTCTTCTAAACCGGGACAGGTATGTAAGTTGTTGCGGTCTCTTTATGGGCTTCGTCAAGCCCCTCATTGTTGGTTTTCCAAATTGACCAAAGCACTTCTTGCTTATGGGTTTTCACAATCTCATGCTGATTACTCGTTGTTCACTCTCCACCAAGGTGGACATTTATTATGCATTCTGGTGTATGTTGATGATTTGCTCGATCATTACTGGTACTAGTCCTGAGATGATTTCTATTTTTAAATCATATCTGGCCCGTATTTTTCCTGTCAAAGATTTGGGTTTTATGAAATATTTTCTTGGCCTAGAAATTGCACGAAGTCCGCAGGGTATTTTTTTGTGCCAACGTAAATATGTTTTGGATATTTTATCTGAGACAGGTCTGATAGGTGCCAAGCCCTCTACCGTTCCTATGTCCCAAAATCATGGACTTCAGTCTGATGACAGTCCACTATTTTCGGACCCAGAGAAATATCGGCGGTTGGTTGGCAAACTCATTTATCTTACGCTCACAAGACCGGATATTAATTACTCTGTGCATATACTTTCTCAATTTATGAAAGCACCTCGTCAGGCACACTGGGACGCTATTTTACGAGTACTTCGTTATCTGAAGGGACACCCAGGGCAAGGCATTGTGTTTCGACGAGATTCTCCTCTCTCGCTCTTTGGTTATTGTGATTCTGATTGGGCTAGTTGTCCCAATACACGGCGTTCTATTACAGGATATTTTGTAACTCTTGGCGGTTCTCCTATTTCATGGCGGACAAAGAAGCAAGCTACGGTCTCCCGCTCGTCTGCTGATGTCACGCCCCAGACCGCATCTGAGCGCGTGTACAACCGCCGTATGACTAAATGACGTCACCCGCGAGTCAACGTGACTTAGTCAAACAAGGCGTCCATGAACATAGTCCATACCATACTCAGTAAGTAAACATACATAACAACATCACGCAATAGGATTGAACGAATAGCGGAAATATTCAATATTCAATCGTGGGCCACACATGGCCAAAACGTAGGCACGCAGGCCCAAAACAAATGTATTTATTACAAAAATATCCATGAGCAAGTTTGTAGTTTAAAACATTAAAGGAAGCACGAACCACGTCTCCCTTTGGATCACTTCACCGAGCAAGGTGAGAATAGCAACTTGAGCTTCAACCTGAAATGGTGGGGCCCCCCCGAAGGGGTCAGTACAAGTACCGAGCGAGTAGCAGGCTAAATGTAGAATAACTAACGTTTCAAGTATAAGACCCAAACATAGGGTGATACATATACGTATAGTCCTTTCCCCAAGATTTGAAATACATATTGGTATATATACACTTGGAAATACCCGACCCGTAGGTCATTGTTTATTTGGGAAAAATAATAGAAGCCAATGTCCTTGACTTAAATCCCAACCCACCCATATACCTATGAGTGTATAGAACTCCTCCTTGTTCAAGTAAATTATCATAAGGACACCGCCCGGTCCTAGATCATTAAATGTAATCTATGAGTTTTGAGGATACACGCCCGATCCTTGGGTACTCCACCCTATAACCGAGTTTTGAGGATAACCGCCCGATCCTTGGGGTACTCCACCCTATATATATACATATATACCGAGTTTTGAGGATAACCGCCCGATCCTTGGGTACTCCACCCTATATATATACATATATACCGAGTTTTGAGGATAACCGCCCGATCCTTGGGTACTCCACCCTATATAACCGAGTTTTGAGGATAACCGCCCGATCCTTGGGTACTCCACCCTATATATATACATATATACCGAGTTTTGAGGATAACCGCCCGATCCTTGGGTACTCCACCCTATATAACCGAGTTTTGAGGATACACGCCCGATCCCTGGGTACTCCACCCGACCTATGACTTACCACATATTACACTAGATAGGGTCTATATCATATTATTACTAAAGACTAACCGAGTCTTAGAATTAAATCAATGAATGTCAATCTTGACATTAAATCATCATATTCCATGCAATTCCATGCACAATATACACACATAGGTTGTACGGGGTCAGCCCCTCCTTCGAACCGGACTTCGGTTCGCGTTTTTAGTGAAATTTAAGTGTGGAGGCAGTAGCTTACCCGGCCCCGGGTATGCCCTATACCCGGCGCCGGGTATGTTCGGAGTTTTGGGTCAACGGCCCGTTGACCCCCGAGTTGACCCCCGAACCGTGATCCGTTTGATCCGAAATTTTTATACAACCTATATCATGTCTAAAACAATCAATAAATGTTATTTTGGCCTTCCAAAACATCACATATGTTTTATATATATTTTCTACTTCCCACATGCATAATCATGTAGTTTCATTCACATAAGCCTAATCACCTTGGCTAATCACATGCTTAAACTCTTTTAAACATCATTATGAATACTTATAACATTTATTTAGGTAATCTCATACTTAACCCAAGAGTTATAAGACATTAAGCCGTCCACTCACCTTGAATTAGCGTTATGAAGTTCTACCCTTCTTGGTTGAACTCCGGTGAAACTCCGGCGACTTTTGGTCAACTCCGGCGACAATTCCGGCGACTTTCCCAACCTTGTGAAATCACTTGAAATACCTTTCACAAGTTCCTAACAAGGTTTTATAATCATAAAACCCATATTAATACAAATAACCTCAAAAAGGTTATTTTCCGGTGAACCGGTCGTTTTGGCTTCTAAGACCGTTCTTGGACATAGAATCACTTCATAACCCATAAATCCATACTTATAACATGTAGAACCCTCTTAAGGGTTCTTCACATGATACATATCTCATATGGTAGGATAAAAATAAAGGAAAAGTTATAATGAGGTCATTACCTTAATTTACACACTTTTCCTAGCCTTTTTCCTTCTTTAATCTTTCTTCTTTGAGCACTTATGCTTGAGCTCGAATTTGGTGGCTATGGAGGATGGTTTGAGAGCTTCCTTCTCCTTTCTTGATGGGGTTGGACGAGCTGAAAGATAGGGGTGAGAGAGAGGGCACTCACCTTTGTCTTAAAGACAATTAAGAGAGGTGGGGGGTCCTCTTTGGTACTATAGATGCCAAATAATCCTCCTCCACATACTCATTTGTCCTTCCAGCCCCCCCATGGGTCTTGTTGAGCACACAAAAACGTGAGGTGGCCCCCACTCATGTGGGAGGTCATCCCAACTTGTCCCGAAATGTACATTCGGTCCCGAAAGTTGTATTTTTCGGACTGTTTTAAATATATTTTATTTTATCGGGTCAAATAAAATATATTATGTGCTCTTACTCATTATGACATTTATAATGAATATACATTCCCCAACTTTAATTTATAAGCCTCCGAAATTCATTTCCGGGCTGCTATCTGTTAAATTGTCAGTACCGGTAATTGAGCCTCTTTTTCCCAATCGGTCAACTCTGTGCCTTTCCATGACCCAAATAAAATATCCACCACTATATAAATATTATCTTGACCAAGATGAATAAAACATGTGGTCTCGGAAGTGTCGGGCGGCCCCCGCTCCCGGTGTGGGTCCCACGTGCAATTTACTATTCGCGCGAAAGAAATAATAAAAATTTACAACTTCGTAAATTCATTAATCCTTTGATAAGGTTCAATACATTATTTACATAAAAGTAAATATACTTGGGGACGGTGTTACAAGTTCACCCCCCCTTATTTGGGATTTCGTCCCCGAAATCCAAGTATCTAATCGAAAGGAAATGGGTATTGCTCCCTCATTGAGACCTCGGTCTCCCAAGTTTCTTCTTCGACTCGATCACTCCTCCAAAGAACCTTTACCATAGGAATCTCCTTATTCCTAAGCTTCTTCACTTGTTGACCAACAATCTTTACTGGTTCCACCGCATAATGCAAGTCCTCACGGATCTCTACCGGTGGTTTCTCAAGAATATGAGATGGGTCTCGTATGTACTTCTTGAGCATTGATACATGAAACACGTCACGTATCTTCTCAAGTTCAGGCGTCAACTTGAGACGATAAGCCACGGCTCCAATCCTCTCAAGGATCTCAAACGGACCTATGTATCGGGGGTTAAGCTTCCCCCTCGATACGAATCGGATGATGCCCTTCCAAGGAGAAATCCTTAGGAAGACCTCATCACCGACCTCGAACTCCAATGGTTTCCGCCGTTTATCAGCATAACTCTTTTGTCGGTCCTGAGCGGCCTTCAATCTGTCACGAATGATTTTCACCTTAGCCTTGGTGATCTCAACAAGTCTATTCCCTCGAGCTTGGCCTCACCAACCTCGTCCCAACACAATGGTGTCCTACACTTCCTCCCGTACAGTGCCTCGTACGGAGGCATGCCAATACTTGCCTGATAACTGTTGTTATAGGCAAACTCCACTAAAGCCATGTGTTTGTCCCAACTCCCTTGGAACTCCAAGGCACATGCCCTAAGCATGTCTTCCAAAATCTGTATCACCCGCTCAGATTGTCCATCTGTCTGTGGGTGAAAGGTTGTGCTAAACTTCAGTTTAGTACCCAATGATGCTTGAAACTTTGGCCAAAACTTGGATGTGAATCGTGGATCCCTATCCGAGACAATGGATATCGGGACTCCATGCAATCTCACAACCTCTTCCACATATAACTTGGTCAACCTTTCAAGAGGGTAAGTAATGTTGATAGGTAAGAAGTGTGCGCTCTTGGTGAGCCTATCAACCACTACCCAAACTGCGTCGTAGTTGTTCACTGTCCGGGGTAGCCCTACCACGAAGTCCATGGTCACATGCTCCCACTTCCATTCTGGAATGGTAAGTGGTTGCAAAAGCCCCGCTGGGTGCTGATGCTCCGCCTTAACTTGTTGGCAAGTAAGGCATCGGCTCACGTACTCTGCGATGTCTCTCTTCATACCTGACCACCAGTAACTTTCCTTCAAATCTCGGTACATCTTAGTACCTCCTGGATGCATAGCATAAGCTGAAGAATGAGCCTCCTCAAGTATAGACTTCTGGAGTTCCTCATTCTTTGGTATGCATACACGATCCTTAAACAATAATAGACCGTCATCACGTACTCGGAAGTTCTCAACGGGCCCCGCAAGGATCCTTTCACGGATCTTCTGACATTCCTCATCCATGGCCTGACTTCGACTAATCTCGCCCAATAGGGTGGGCCTAACCTCGAATCGAGCAATGAGAGCCCCACACGTGGACACCTCCACGCGTGCCCTCAATGCCTGTAGACATGTGAGTAGCGTCCCTGTCGTATTCTTCCTGCTCAGTGCGTCAGCCACGACATTGGCCTTTCCGGGATGATAGTCGATGATCAAGTCATAGTCCTTGATCAACTCCATCCATCTCCTCTGCCTCATATTCAACTCTTTCTGAGTGAATACGTACTTCAAGCTCTTATGGTCTGTAAAAATGTGACATGTCTCCCCGTAGAGATAATGCCTCCAGATTTTCAGTGCAAACACTACCGCCCCTAATTCTAGATCATGGGTAGGGTAGTTCACCTCGTGCTTTCTTAATTGCCTTGAAGCATAGGCAATCACTTTACCGTTTTGCATCAGTACACATCCAAGCCCTTGGATGCTAGCATCACTGTAGATATCATACCCTATCCCCTGTATGGGTAGGGCTAGGACTGGTGCTTCGGTAAGTCGTTTCTTCAGTTCAAGGAACCCTTTCTCACACTTGTCGTCCCATATAAACTTGGCCCCTTTCTTTGTGAGCTTCGTTAATGGGGACGCCAATACGGAGAATTTCTCAACAAATTTACGATAGTATCCCGCTAGGCCAAGGAAACTACGTATCTCTTTCACATTCTTGGGTCTCTCCCAATCCATGATAGCTTTTATCTTGGCGTTATCCACAGCAACGCCCGAACCGGATATGACATGACCGAGGAAACCAATCTCCTTGAGCCAAAATTCGCATTTAGAGAACTTGGCAAAGAGTTGCTTTTCCCTTAGTCGATCAAGTATAAGCCCCAAATGATGTTCGTGCTCCTCCTCGCTCTTGGAGTATATTAAGATATCATCAATGAATACTATCACAAATTGATCTAAGTATTCACTAAACACACGGTTCATCAAGTCCATGAATGCTGCCGGTGCATTGGTTAAACCAAATGACATCACAAGAAACTCGTAGTGACCATATCTAGTGCGAAATGCACTCTTAGGTATGTCACTCTCCTTGATCT